TTTTTTGTTTTTTTCCAGTGGCCCTAATCCTCTTCCGTAATTATCAACAGTTTAAGATGTTTTTTCTTTCCTTGCCTCTGGAAAAAGCTGTTGTATAAAACAGCATTTTACCAATTAAAAACAAATAGGGAGGAGGACGGAATAAAACAGCAAATCTGGGGACATTTTTTGAAGTTTGCACAAGGGATAAGGGTTTCATAAACTTTTCTCTCATGGTTACCTTTTCATACTTGAAAAAAGCTAAATATGAAGGGATTTTATGATTTATCGGAGCACCTTAACTAAGCTGATATCCCCTCCTTAGAGAAAGCTACTGACAGTAGCACTAACAGAACATGTAAACTATCCCTGATATTTTAGACCAAATGACATCTTTAATGTTTCATTGTTTGGGAGGATTGATGTTTGAGTTGCATTGGTCAACTGGGATCCGTTTCACATCCCTGGATTGTGTCTGCAGTGTCATTTTCAGAGTCTTACTCTGTGTGAGTAAAGCTACTGCTCACCTGCTGCATGTCAGATATAGAAGCAGTGTCAGCGCGGTGATTTGGTGGTAATATCCCATAATTCAGCTGTAACAGCTGTGAGAGGATTACTGCCGAAGTAGAACGTTGGGGTATTGATTACAGCCCACAGACGGGGACGTTTGAGGAATGTCGTTTTAATCTCTGGCTATTCATTTCTGGAATGAGGAGAAGAAATATCCCGGAGAGAGACTGATGGCCTGTCAGGGTCGCATGCGTGTTTTATTATAAGGCCTTCAGTACTTGGGGAAAGTATTTATATCCATTTAAACTCACATTACAAACCCAAACTTCCACTTTTTTTTGTGATTCAACAGCACAGATTTAAAAAAGAGGCACAAATGGAATCTCTTTGAATGTATTAGTAAAGCATGGTGGTGGCAGCATTATGTGGAGATGCTGGTTTATGTTTTACAGAATTGTAAGGTGTGCTTTTCTCCATTTTAATCAATCAAAATCTTTTTCTAGAGCTCCATGCAGAAGACTGGGTGGGTCCACATCCCAGCGAGGGGGCGGGGGAGTCGGCCCAGAGCCCAGAGATGCACGCTGGGGAGGACAGTGACACGGACCTCACCTACGGGGAGGTGGAGCAACGGCTGGATCTGCTACAGCAGCACCTGAACAGGTGAGGGGCGATCATATCCGCCGTCATTCCGTCTATAATTGGCTGGAAGTCGTACAGATTTGAGGCTAGACACCCGCTGCAGCCGTGTAATTCAGAGGGAGAACTACTGTATGTGAGCAGCTTGCCTGGTTCCAGATGAGGGGGAGGCGGCCAGTCAGTGGCCGTCTATTTATAGAAGGAGGTGCAGACGCATGGCACAGACTTTGACGTCACCATTGGAGATTTGGAAGTCTTTATCATTTTCAGAACTTCTTAAGTTGCCCTTTTCTACTCTGAGTCCTAACCAGAAATTCTAGAGTTCCTTAAAAAAAAAACAAGTATTCACATCCCTGATTCTGACGAAATGAGTTGATCTTAGGTAAAACACTAAATAGTGCACAGAATGAGGGCTTCAACTAATGATTATTTTGCAAATCGATTAATCTGTTGATTATTTTTTCGATTAACTGATCGATCAGACAGAAAAAGGTTCCTTAAAGCATTTTTTTTTTTTTTCAAAATTAAATCAGGTGGGATTCTGGATAGAGCACATTGACAGATAAAAAGGTTTTTAAATAAAAAATGTTAATATATTTTGATATAATTACTGTTCTAAGTGGGTCGCTCTAGTACTCAATTTAACGATTATGTGATTATTAAATTAGTTGACGATTAATCCGATTGTTTCAGCCCTACATAGAATGTTCAGTCTTATTTTCTTTGGCAGGTTTGGACGTCGTAGGTAAAAATTTCTTCTCTGTAACTGAACCTCACTTCACCGTCCTCCTGACAGTTTTTCCTGCTGGATTTATTTTTAGCTGCAGCTTCATCACGTTTGGCTACTTTGATGAAAGCTGGGGAAAAAAAGGCTGATTTTAAGCCCATCTGGAAAACAGCAACCCTGAACATACAGCCAGAGCTTCAGTTTCAACATAGAAGTATATGCTGTTCTACTTTTAAAGGTGTAAATGCAACCAAAAGTAGTTCTCCAATGGGATGAATATAAATACTAGCTGCCTTTTCTTTTCATCTTTGCCTTTTCTTTCCATTTATTTCAGTTTGTGGTTGCAATGGGACTTTTTGCCTAGTTATAGTGGTAGATGGCTACTGTAGGAAGCTCATAGTCTCCCCCTAGTGCTTAAAGTAGGTGTTGACATCACCTTGATTAAATACGCCAGTCGGAGCAGATCACATGCATTCCTCCAAATCACATTTATCCTGATGGGTGCACTTGCAATCATCTCTGCTAATGTTTGGCTTCATTGAAGAGTTTAATTATTGCAGAACCTCTCTAGAGTAATTACAACCAGGCGGCTTGTTTTAGGACAGATGTGCTCATTTGTTTTGTTTTTATCCAGGTTTACTCTCATTTCGCTGACTAATTGAGTTTCCACAGAAATCATTTTCAGAATGAGGGTTGGTTAACTGAATTACCTGCATGCAGCGTCAACATTCTGTTTCCATGGTAACTCATCTTTGTGTCATGGTATCTTTTTTAGGCTGGAGTCCCAGATGTCGACGGACATCCAGGCCATCTTGCAGCTCCTCCAAAGGCAAACGGCAGTGGGCCCCCCCGCCTACAGCACCGTCACCTCCAGCCCGGAGTACCACAGCCCGACCATCCGGGTCCAGCCGGCGTCTGCCATCCCGACGGAGCTCTGCCTCGACCCGCCTCCACCTCAGCCACAGGTAAACCGGGCTCCAACGATGCCCAATTCTTCTAATAACCAGTTATGGCAAACATATTATGCTTCCTGATTAGGGGAAATCTTAAAGGGGTCATAGAATGATTCTATAGGGTATTTGATGCTGGCCCTTAAGGTCTCTAAATAGGGTGTGTAACATTGGTTGGGCTGAAAATGACATATTTGCTGTTCTGAGCCCTATTGCAAGCCTGGTTATAAGCCCTAGAATGAAACGACAGGTTTTCTTCCATTTCTGGTATGCCCATGAATATTTAGATGAGCTGTGCGCTGATTGGTTGGTTTACAACGAGCGGCTAATTTCCAAAATCATCCAGGATTGTAGTCGACTGCAGTGCAGCACGTAGTGGAAATACACCGGGCATTCGAACGAGCCATCAGCTCTGGGTCTGGTCCGGGAACCCTGGTGGACAGATGCATGGAGCCAGCGGGGGACGGACCGAACCCAACCCGGTGACAGTAGCCTGGACACCGTGCTTCCACCCACATGCCCTTACCACCCTCGGAAGTTTAGAATTGTGAGATTATGGGGTTTGAACTTCTCTGTACGTCCATTTCACCCACTGAGCTATCATTATTTATCTATGACCCCTTTAAGAGAAATGCAACCTTTAGACTCCTTGAGATTCAAGTCAGTTAGTTTTAAGAGGCAAACCAACACACATTGAAATGTAGAGACTTTATTGCTGTTTAGGTTCACAGTTGCTAAAAAAAAACCCACAGTTCAGTTTCTCACATATTCAGGTGCTTTTCAGGGTCAACTCTAGTGTTTATTTTTTTATCTTCCTTACCGTCTAAGCTTGATAAAACACAGCAGACCAGCATCTCTGTGCATGTAAATTAACCTCACCAACCGCCCAATCAAACACAGGCCCTTTTAATCCAATCAAAGTAACCCTTGCAAATATTGCACCTAGTCGCAGAGATTACAAAACCAAATGGCAGGATTTAAGAAAAAAGACCTATGAAGTCAGAAATCTGCCACTCAGGCATGTAAACTTTTCCTGATTTAATATGAGGCCACAAATACATCACATTGACATCCATGCTACTCCTCTGCGCTAGTTTGTTTTTTGTGCTACTTTAGATTCTCTCCTGCTCGCATTTGGACCTGTTTCTGTGTTCTCATGTCAACTTTTACCACTTTAGGGGGGGAAAAAAACCGAGGAAAGTAAACTACCTGTGATTGGCTGCTTTTCAGGAAATCCCACAACTCGTTTTCTTCAGGCTAGTAACATTAGCAAAGCATCTTTAGGCTAATTGCTGTCATCCTTAAATTACTTTAACGCAGTCAAATGTGTTCTAACAGTGGCAGCAATTTGTCTAAAATGATTGGTTAGTTTGGAACTTCATATGAGCTAAGCTAACATTAGCTTTGTTGTTTAAATTAAGGAAAGTGAGACTTGAATGAACTGTAGTTTATGGCTGAATACAGTCTGTTGTTCAGCGTTTTTTTCTTTTGTGTCCAGCTTTGTTTATATGATAATCACTTAATGGATATAAAGTCAGAATTTTGCTCTTTAGGAGAACAGCAATTAGCCTAAAGATGCTTTGCTAATGTTAGTAGCTAAGATGAAAACAGTAGAGGTGGGATTTCCTGAAAAGCCAAAGGTAGTTTACTTTCTATGTTTGGTTCCGTCCTCAGATGGAAGAAACGGGTCAAAACGCGAGGAGGAGATTATCTATATACTAAGCCATGAATGTGTTGCATTTGGGGCCACATAGTATTAAATATTTCCATGGAGAATAACGATTTAAAAAGGTTTACTTTTCTTCCAGGCCCTGTGAGGTGATGCAACATTTTCTATCGTTTGTTTTATTATTTAACTGCAATAACCATACCTTATCTAAAGGTTTGAGTTTTTAGAGCCAGATAGGATAAGCACTACAATGAATAGAAGCTGTTTAAGGTGGAATTTAAGATGTATTAGATGTGTGTGTATATATATCTTCAATTCCACCTTAAACAGCTTCTATTCATTTTATTGCTTATCCTATGTGGCTCTAAAAACTCAAACCTTTAGATAAGGTACGGTTATTGCTTCTGAACCCATTTTCTACCGCAGGTTTTCCTTCCACTTAACTTTCCAGTAATGTGCTTGGATGGAGCACAAACCACTGGACTTTGTTTTCCAAGTTTGAAGTCGTTTCGCTTCCATTCCATGAGGTTTTATCAATTCAAATGTGTGGAGTAGCGCTGAGTTCCAGGCTTTATAGAGTAGCCCAACAAAAGCCTTCTTGTGGCTTAGAAAACTGGTCCACCCCTTAGTGAAGGGGAGTTGTTAGGGTCGTTGTTGGCCTGGCTAAACAGGCGAGTTGTCTTGATCACCTGCATGGCGATGAGGATTGAGAGGATAGTGGGAAGGGATCAACTCTAATGCAGCATTATAGTTTTTTGAGAGCTGAAATCTGAGTCCATCCCCTCTGTTTAAGGTTGTTTTATCTCTTTAAACAAATGGCTTCCTTCACACCCTTTTCAAACCACCTGTCTTCTTTGTCCTTAAGGTGTAGGTAGACAGCAGAGTCTTGTCCGGAGGAGGTAACCTGTCTGTGTTGCGTCATGCGTCTGTGGAGAGGTTGTTTGGTTTCTCCAATATAAAGATCAGAGCATTCCTCTCTGCATTGAACGGCATACACCACTCTGCTCATATTTGGTCTTAGGGTTTTGTCTTTCGGATGCACTAGTCTCTAAGGGTCTTGTTTGGTTCAAAATGTACTGATATTTTGTGTTTGGAGAAAATCCGCTTGGGTTTTTCAGAGACTCCAGCAAAGTATGGGGATGATTCTTTTTTTGCATTTAACCGTCTCATTCTTAAGTTCTGCTGCGTGTCTTTTGGATTTCCTTGCTGATTTGACAAACACCCAGTTTGGAGAGCATCTTTGACGTGGTTCTGTTCTTTGTGCTTCCCTGAGTCAAAAAGAAGATACTGGTCTGTGTGAGTGGATTTCCATCCCCTTCCATGCTCAAACAGTTCAGAAAAGGTAGCTAGTTGTGGTCCAACAAGTTAATGTGTCTTTTGAAAGCTTTGATTCTTTTTGCTGGATTTTGGTGAAAGGGTCCAAAGCTCACTTTTCCATTTCTTCAATGTAAAGATTTACAAGGATTTACAGACAGGAGCACAGTTGTTCCATTGGATCTCCCGTGTCACCAGTTGTAGCCAATCTTTACATGAAAGAAATAGAAAAGAAAGCTTTGGACACTTTCAGAGGAACACCACCAAGCCATTGGTTTAGATATGCAAATGACACGTTCGTCATAATCCAGTAAAAAGAAGTGGAAGCTTTCACAAGACACGTCTACTACCCAACTAAAACAGAAGGGAAGCACAGAGAACAGAAACACATCAAAGATGCTCTCCAAACCTGTGGGTATCCAACTGGGCTTTCGTAAAACCAGCAGGGAAAACCAAAAGACACGCAGCAGAACATAACGATGAGATGAATAAACGCAAAAACATCACCATCCCATATGTTGCTGGAGTCTCTGAAAAACTCAAGAGTTTATCCAAACACAAAATCCCAGTACATTTCAAACCAAAAAAGACCCTTAGAGACTAGTGCACCCTAAAGACAAAACCCCCAGACGGAATATGAGTGGAGTGGCGAATGTAGTTCAATTAATGCTCTGATCTTTATATCGGAGAAACCAAACAACCTCTCCACAGATGCATGGCTCAAAGGAGAGCGACCTCTTCCGGACAAGACCCTGCTCTGTCTAACGACACTTTGAGGACCAAAATGTAAACGTTTTGAACAAAGAAGACAGGTGGTTTGAAAGGGGTGTTGAAGGATGTTAGAGAGAAAAACCAACCTTAAACAGAGGGGGTGGACTCTGGTTTCAGTTTTCAAAACCAGTTTAGCCAAGGCAACAATGACCCTAACGTCTCCCCATTACTAAGGGGTGGTAGTTAAAGCTGCACGCTTTCTAAGCTAAAACTAGGCTTTGTTTTGGTCCCTTCTATAAAGCCTGGGACCGAAAGCTACTCCAGACATTGTGAGTTGAGAAAGCTTCCTTGATGGGAAGCGAAACATCTTCAAAGTACAGTTTTTTGGAATGACTATGACCTGGATGACTGAGTCTTCACCAACGCATGCAAACATAATTTATTGTTTGTCTGAAAAGGGGTATGAAAGAGGGGAACTTACTTAAACATACCCCTTAATTTTGTAGCAAAACTTAGTAGCTGTGGGTATCAATAACACTTGAATAAGTTTAAATAGGAGTTCTGAGAAAAAATGTATTAAAATATGTTTTCACACTGGCTGAACATCTAAATTCTGTCATCTCCAAAAAAGAAAGTTTTCTCTTATTCTGTCACAAATGTGAATCTGTAATCAGAGGATAACCTTTCTTGTGATGCTCCACAGGGCCCCGACTCGGAGAGTTCTTCTCCGAAATCCAAAGAAACCTCTCCAGTCCTCGTCTGCACACAGACTCTTCCAGATGGGAACTTTGCGGGGCTGCTGGAGAGCGACTCCAACGCCGATCAGAGACACGCGATAGAGCCGCCTCACCAACAATCGCCGCGGTTCCCATCAGGGCGACAAGCTTCTCTACCCGACGTCCCCAACAGCTCGGGGATGTTGGGACTCCACAGGCCTGGCTCTGACCCGGGTCTTCCAGGACAGTAACCCCCCCCCTCCAACCCTTAAAGACTAAAGGTCTTCTCTTAAGCTTGACTCAGGGTCTAAGAAAGAGACTGAATATGCAAAGGATTAAAAACTGTAGATTTTCTTCCATTCCTTTTGAGAACATCTGAACCCTCCCCTCCCCCACTGATCTAGATGTACATATCTATTTATGTAAAGTCATCTATATCCTGTACATAGTTCAAATATACCACTGCCAGCAACACAAAGCACCTAATGTGCTATTTCTAGATATGCATGATTTCCATACTCATGTTTTCTGTTCTGTTGCATGTTCCTCACGTGCTGCAGCTCACGAGGCGTTCGGGTGTTATTGGCATGTTGCTCTCATTTCCTGCATCTTCTGCCTCTACATAGGGGACAAAGCTACTTGAAACAATCACTGAGGCATTACTCTATTTGGCAGCGTGAAATAATACAGCTTTCTCTGAACCTGGAGGCTACTTTCAGGAAAGTTGGGCTGTATTTGAAGACATCTTCTAGAACTTATCAGCCTAGATCCAGGAAGTAACCTCAGAGAAAATATGAGTTTAACTGCTGTAGATTTACTCCATGGCTTTTAGGTTCTGACCTTTCTCTGGAGAAGATCTGTCTGGATGTTTAGCGTGCCTACTGTCCACAAGAGGTTAAACTAAACCACTTCTTCCAATCCCTCAACTGGAAGGAGACCTCGCTCAGCACACTGACCGCTCTTGTGGGCATTTTGAGAGCAATAACGACGGACCAGTGAAGGTAACCCTCGGTGTTTCTGAACAGCAGATATGAGGGGAAAAAATAAGCGGTAAATATATTTTTAATAAAATTAACAAGGCACTCCTAACAGCATAGAATGCTTTGAAAAGATAAAGGTTTGTTCTACTAATTCACCTCAGAAAGCTGCACTGTTGTGGTTTAGTTTTAGCCTTAGCAACATTTTCCTACCTATAAAGAAAAAGCAACGTAGTCATGTCTTGCATCTACCCTCTCCCTTTGTTTGCCTTTTACTTTTTGTCAAAGAAACAGAAAAGCATCCGAGCTGCCCTGGTGTACATGTCCTTAAAGGGATCCACGACTAGTTTAACATTTTGTAAGAGCTCATTTGTAGTATTCTTCATCCACAGAGGTCGCCATTTTTAACCTATGCAATGCATGATGGGTTAATGATGCGGTTAGTTCTTAACTGTATTGTAAACACAGGAAGGCTAACATTATCAGAGCTGTTTCTTATCCTACAGCATTTAACTGCTGTAAATTTAGTCAATACTTATCTGTTGAAACAAATGTGATCGGCTTGGGATCTTTTTACAGTACTAGCTAGCGCTAATGCGTAATCAAATCAACTGCTTAAAGTGACACACAGTAAGTCATAACGCATATTTTAGAAACTGTTTTGATCCTGATTCTAACTGTAAACAACCTGTCAGGTAGCATAGCTCTCCATCTGGGTTAGCAGCAGCGTCACTACCCGATCCGTCCTGCACATGCGCTAACAGATATACTGGGTTTCCATAAATAATGTAATTATGGTACTAAAACGACTTATTTCTATTCTTAACTTACTAAAAAATAGTAATACACATCTGTAAAAAAATGTTTTATGCTTTTTACAGTTTCTCCGTTAAACTGCTTCTCTGACGTCACCATGGGACATGCTCAGAGCAGTCGGGCAAAATACAATTAAACCATGTTTATCTGCATTTTAGTGGTTTCTTTCTTTAGATTACGCACTATATAGCATAAGGATAAAACTCCAAAGCTCCCAGAAGTGGCGTAGGATCCCATTTCTGGTGCAGATCGGGCAGAGACCAGTGATAAAACAGGAATTTAAGGCATTTATTTTCTCAAGAAATACATTATTAACCTTTAATACATTATATTTTAGTACGTTTACCGTTTTTCGGGAGGGAAAACATCACTAAGGTATTTTTAACTAAATAAAATTGACGACAATCCGGAAGTATATCTGGATGCGCGGGACGGATCAGGTAGTGACAAGTGCTTCAGACTCAAAAGGTTTATTTAGTTATATGGAGCTAGCATACATCTTTAACCCAGAATGCATTGCTGCAACATCATCAAACTCAGCCTCCGGATGTTGTTCTCGGCCCCTAGTACGCTTCTGTTCCAATTGACCCAGATTTATGCTGTGCGTTCCCGTTCTCCCAGAGTCCATACTTTCCTGTGTTATCAAAAAACGTTCTTGTGAATTGAGAAACGGCCAATATCTTATAACACAGGTGTCAAACTGGTTCCAGAAAGGGCCGTGTGGCTACAGGTTTTCTTTCCACCAAACAATAGCACACCAGACTCCTGTCATGTCATCATGTTCACATTGGACTCCCTTGATGAGATGACTTGAGTCTGGTTTGCTATTGCTTGGTTGGTAAGAGAACCTGCAGCCACACGGCCCTTTCTGGAACCAGTTTGACACCCCTGTCTTATAACTACACAGCTTAGAGCAGTGTTTTTCAACCCTGGTCCTCAAGGCACCTGCCCTGCATGTTTTAGATGTTTCACAGCTTTCACACACCTGTTATCAATTGATAGCAGATTATCAGCCTTTGCTGAACTGCAATCATCTGAATCAGGTGTGCTGAAGCTCAGAAACATGCAGAGCAGGGTGCCTTGAGGACCAGGGTTGAAAAACACTGGCTTAGAGTATTTTAACTGCATTTACATCTGAAAGTCTATCGTTAAAACTAGTCATGAATCCCTTTTAACATTTACCTGCAAAACTCTACAGCCAGAAGCAACCCATTTATCTTCACAGTGAGCTGGAACTGGTGGAGATGGGGGATTTGGTGCATGCTTTAGGTCTTCCATTATATCCTGAAAAACTACAACTTCCTAAAAGAAAGCATAATTAGAAAAAAAAAAAGTTTGGCCTCCAACAGCCTTAGCTTTACTCACCTGCTCTAGCCTTTATAAATAGCATCAGTGCAATGCAACTAAAAGGTCCTCTGCTGTCACATGTAGGTCTACTCGGTCATTTTACATCAAACTGCATGAGGAAGTTAGTGGGGTTTTTTTTTTTTAGTTCTGTGAACAAATTTAGTCAAATAACGGCTCATTATTTGCATGGAGACGGCACATGGAAGGACCATAGACCTATTTTTCTAAAACCTAGAGATTTCATCGGTTGTCAGTTTTCTATGGTTTCTAAGCCTGTTGATGATGCTGGATGCACTGCCTCTTATTGTAGCAAGCTGGATGTGGGGTAAGCAGAAATGCATGTTGCATTTACTGTACACGGTTTGATAGTGCATGCAGACCCTCCCCTAGAAGAAAACTCTAAATTAAAGACGCGAAATAATGTGAGGATTCTTCTTACTTGAGATGCAGAACAAACGTTCCTGAAGTCGGACTCTGCTGAACTTTTTGTGCGATTTGCAAAGTTTTGCACAGAGATAAGCAACCTTTGCTGTACTGGATCTAAACGTCACTTTTTAAATCTAGTGCTGTTCAATTGTTTTTATGCATTTTTTTAAACGTTTGCCACTGTATTTTATACAACGCGACACTAAACAGCTGATTTGAATGTTTCTGTTGACTATATTTAAAGAAATTACATATATATATATTGTGTAAATAGACTGGAAAAATGCACAATTGTATAAATGAATAAAGAAAATGAATACAGAGTAAACTGTGTTTTTTTTATTGTAACAAAAAATGAGGAGTTTCTTACAGAGCTGTGAGTGCTTGGCTGTTTTGGGAGCGCAGTATTTTAGCCACCGACAGGTAAATATAACATTAATTATGCTGTAATTGGTTAAAGATCTAATTTAAATCACTAGTTCAGGGTTTCCTCTACAAGCATTATTGTACATGTAAACTTTATATAAAAAGAAAAATCTGAATACGAGCATATTAAGATAATGGCACAACAGGTATACGATTATTTATGTATAAATTCATTGTATATATATATATATATATATCCCACAATAAGAAAACTACAGGTAGATTATTAAATACAGATATTTAGGTTCTAATTTAAAGGTTAAGCTGTGAATAATGCTGCATTTGCTTTAGAAGTACGGAACACACTGAAGCGTTACAAACATGGAGTCATTTCCTGCCGTCTCGTATACTGGCCTCCGGTAGCATTCCTGTGAGGCACTGACCTGAACGCTCTGACCTCTTGGTGTGGGGCAGGGGGCGCTGCTTAGACCGACATCGTGCAAACGATGAACTAAAGAGAGGGAGGGAAAAAGAAGGTGTTAGTTTTCTGGTGAATCAGCAATCTGACAGGGAAAAAATAAATCTGGTCTTTAACGAGAGCGCAAAGTCTAAGTGCAGCGCCACAAGATAACGGCAGGTTTAAACATGAAGATTCTGGAAAGTACTTGTAATATATACTAGTAAATAAAAAGTCCTTTGGATATAAACAGCTGGGAATGACTACAAACAAAGTAGATGGGTTTTTTTATAGATAATTTAGAGCTACAGCAAATTTGAAAATA